TAAAAAACATTGCAAATATGGGATAGAATTGATGATTTTTTTTAATATTCCATGGAATGTTAAAATACAAGTAGAAATCGTAAATTCCAGTTCGCCTCCGCCTCATTACACATACATCAGTCAAAGTCATAGTCAACGATTCTGTGGGGCATACACTTTCTCTTTGTCTGTTTTCTTGGTATTCTCTTAAGTCTTTCTTTTTTTAAGATCCAGTTGTTGTCATGTCGATTCAAAGTACAACCAAGAGCGTTCTCGTCCGTCACGAAACAACAAGTCCAAAAATTATAATCCCCACATTTGTAATATATTTTCGGATGCCACCTGCACAGTGAGACATCACCCCGTGGATCCATTAGTTTTCCACACTGCATGCACGGGTCGTCCCGGTACTTGGGGTCGGTGCACCATTTCGAATCGTTACCGACAATGTCGAATTCTTCAATCACCCACTTGAAGTCCTTACAGGTGCACTTCAATGCGGCCAATTCACAGGTTGGTAAATATTTGAATATATTACCAACGACGTGGTCAGGTAAGTAAATGAATGGATTGAGATGCTTTACCATATTACTAGAGTCCAGATCTTCTTTCGGCTGTCTACGTTTTTCAGTTGAGATCGCATCAATCTTGCGCAACCGTAATTTCAAGTGTACGTACTTCGGCAAAGGTGATCTCAGTTGTGATCTGCATTCTGCGAGTGGAGTCCTTCCAATATCCGGCGATACTTTGCTGCCTATTACAAGAAATAACAGTTTACGCATGACACATCCCAAAATAACCATGGTCGTTAACAAGTACGTCGATAGGAACATGATTCCCGAAAGAAAGAGATCGCCCAATATTCCTGTCAGAACTCTTAACAAAGCTGCATCGATCGAGACAATATTACTTCATTTCGTTGGGTGGTTCTAATTTGAATATCGACTTTTGTGGTATGTCTCCTGATTGGTTATTGCTACCGTGACTAAATTTGCATTTCGTTTAAATCCTTAGCCTCGTTGTCAACAGAAAAAAAAATCACTTTCCTGAAACTAAACAAATAATTTCTTGCAGTAAATCGGTGTGAAGAACTCTCACAATTTGGGCTGAAATATGCGACGACAGTGTATATATATGAAAAAATGAAGTGTAATCGGGACAAATTATTTTAACATTGTATTATTATAATTCAAAGTCTTATGCACAATTTAAATTTGTTATGCCATATGGCGTGATTAAATGTGTATACACAGAAACCATTTTTACGCTGAATTATTCAACGGTCACCGACGGTACGCTTTCAAATTTGTGTTCATCGTACGCAGGCGCAACAATTGGACAACGGAATTATGTTGCATTCTCTCGACCATTCATACACTTCTGTGCTGTCCTTATTTTCACTATAGGGCAAAGTTTTAAAAGAATGCAATGTGACCACTAATATTCAAGCAAATCGGACGTATTATTTGACAGAAATACCAAAGTATGACACTTTCGTGGTACAAATGCTTTTGGCGTAATGTAGTAGGAATTATACATCAAGAGGAGTGGCTTAGTTGACCTAAGTTGTGATAAAGTTCCAACTATAGGGGAGATAGCTCTTTCTTTTTTTCTGGATTACAAGTTTGGGTCAGTATGGCGACTCTGAGATCATTGGGTGAGGGACGGTGGGTGAGGGCATGCCCTATATTGACAATTTCTTTGACAGCATGAAAGTTTATTCCATCTTCAACGTAAGCGGGCGCACACGGTGAGGGTCACTATACTTTCCGTTTATCTGCATGCACGGGGCGCGATGTGGAGAAATGAGTTTAACAGATCTTTGGCACGGACTTGTATTGTTCCACACTGAATATTCTTACCCAAAATTCACAATAAACTGCATTTTTTTTTTATTATTTAATCGGTTATTTTTTTTTATTATATTCACCTGTCAAGTCAGTTTGCGATTATTTCCCGCAGCCTGCGAACTGAGAGTCTCATCATCACAGTCTGACATCACAGTGGTTGTAATAAATTATCGTAGAATCCGACAAAAGCAGCAAAATTCGTAATTATTACACAAGAATCTCAATTCCCGTTAACACTACACTGCGTCCTTGGACAGGTAATTAAGGGTAAGTTATGCAATATTTGCCTTATATTTTATAATATCTTTCGTTTCGGGTGTTTTGTATGGAGTTAATTTTCACTGATTTTTTTGATGAGTTAAATATAAAATATTGGGAAAAAATTCACTTTTAAGCAAGTCTAACCAACAACGTACATGAACTCCGGTTCAAGACGTGCGAGTGACGCATTATGTAATGCCCCCATACAACAGAACTCAGAAGAAGGCGATTGGATTTCCTAATTTCTGACAACAGATTCTATGATGTCATACTTTACCCAAAATCCTTTGCTGAAGAATCAAGATGGCGGACTACACAAGACATACATATTCTAGAGAATAAAAATGATATGAAAAAGATGTAAATTGCATGTTCTTACATTTGCCGAGCTCTTTTATCTGGGAGTATTATGTTGTTAGCCTTGACTTTCCCTTTAAAATTCCATCAAATGAATTTAAATATATTGATAAATGATGGTTATATATATGAAGTTTTCACAATGCCTGTCCCCCAACCCCAAAATGTTTCCACTAATGAACTTCCACTAAGTAAAATGATCATTAATGTTTTTTTCAAAACAGACACCAGCACATTTTCTCTACGTTGATATGTAATCAATACAGTTGTGTGAATTTACCATTACAACAGGAAGATGAAATAACTGGAATGAACAATTCAGTGTAAGCTCAACCAATTTTTTTTCAAACGTCTATATTACATTTGAGATTCTTAAAATCGCACACACGTTTTTTTCTCATCCAATTATAGAAGTGACGACTTTCGGTGTGATATTTCGTCATTTTTCATTGAATTTCAGAATGGCTGTGAACCTCATTTTTTAAACGTATGAATGTGATGATACGTGATGGTACTTGAAGGTTGATATGTATACATATAGAACATACAATTTCTTTCACTTCCTTGAGATTAGTCTGTATCCATAATAATTAGCTCCGATCGACTAGACACAGTCCAGGGGCTTATGGATCAATTGGTTTCCGTTCACTGTAGTATTTCTGAAGTTCATGGACTGATTTTCTCCTAACTTGGTACATGTATGATGCATGATGGTATACATATGCCCCAGTTGTTCAAAATGACTTACTGGCCATATTTGATCCAAAAATATCCTAAAAACCTACATTTTCTATTTGTTGTACTGGCTGATTCTGTTCAATTCATTACCAGTATTTTCCAGATTTTATTCAAATTGGCCAACTAGTGACCATTTTGTTCATCAAAATTACTCAACTTTGTTCATTTTTACTTACAACTTAATATTATTACTAAATTTATTCAGAATTGGTACAAAAACAGTATATTATTTCACAAAGGTGCAAGTTGATTTTGGTCAAGATTCTATACAATATAACTGACCATATTTTTTGGACAGTTCTCCCTATATCTCAAATTCTCAGTCCAAACTTGGTTCGCAGATGATTGTGTTGTAGCACATCAAAAAAAGTTGATTTGTGTTATAATCCAATTCAAGACCTGGTAGCCATTATAACGAAAATCAGGATTTTTCATCTATTTTTGCTCAATTCTCACATCAATGAAATTTGGTATGTGACACTCCTTGTCGAAGATGGTCGACTGGGAGCCATTTTTTTTTTTCAAAATGCATATCTTGGTATGATGGTTTTATATGCATGTTTCGATTTTTTTTTCAGTTAAAAATGGCTTTCTGGTGGCCATTTTGTTTCATAGTTTCACATATTTGAATTCATTTCTCAGATCATATAAATGCTGACATTTCATTTGTCATATATTAAACTACAATAATCAGAAGAGGCTGTGACATTCTCAAAGGGTTGTTTTATTCATCTTCTGCAATAATACATAACATCTGAACAAATAATTTTGCATTGTTCAAGTTGCATGTAATAACATAACAAAACAGATAAATACTGGAAGTGTTACGAATGATCAATTGAGTCAAAGCATATATACAAAGTAAAATTTTATACGTTGAAAAAACCTGTCATCAAGCTAGCTGCTCTCTGATTGGTCTCATTGTTAGGTGTTGTTAGACACAATCTTATAACCAGTGTTGCATTGACCAAAAGCCTATAACAAATTTTCACCACAAACAATTACATCATATTTTTTGAAATTTTGAAATTTCATAAAAGAAAAAAAATAAACGAATTCAATAGACCATTTTCTACTCACTGCAAAATCCTAAGTTGAGCATGAAAAATCAAAAGTAAAAACAAGAAAAGCAAAGGTCATAGCATCATAGTGGCGACAAACATCGCATGGGATTCAGAATTATTTTGAGGAATATTTCCATGCTTAATAATGTGCTGTACACATTTCATGCTGGTCAATTTTGATGAAGTACGGGTATTCAAACACAATATTCCCCTGTCAAAGATCGGCCTTTCTATGTGAGCTATGAAATAAAGAAATTTGAGCTCAAAATCAAATCGTTTGATTATTACCATAAACCTTCGGCGAGCATCTTTCACGCAACACACAAGAAAATCACCTATTAGGGTTGAGTAGCCAATTAAGACTTTGCATAGAATTTGGTTGTTGGAAACAACACGTAATATATATTATTGTACACAAAGCACCAAAAACAATAGAATCTGTCATTTGATGAAAAGCTGTATCAGCACTCATTCAAACCCTACATGAAAAAAAACATGATATGAAAGGCAAAATTCAGTTTCCTATATGGGAAAAACGCCATGCATATTGACGGCTCATTATCCAAAGAACCTAGAACACTTTCACTGGGTATTTGATACAAAAATCAAACTTTAAGGCCATTGCTGATTGGCTAATGGGACTCGATGACAATTTCATATTCCAATAAAAAATAATGTTTATTACAGATTTTTTCTTTTGTAAATGATGAACAGTTGTTAACCAAACTCAGATATCTATTTGAATGAAGTTGCGTAAACCATTCTTAGTCATTCTGATGTTACAGAAAAACACAAGGTTGCAAAACGAAGTAACCAATACCAACCTTGATGACAGTTAATATTATAATAAAACTATATGTCATCATCTTTTTCTTGGATAAAGTGTAGTTTGGTATAGATCTTTATGGGCTGTAGCATCAATGAATGTGAACACTGCACTTTGATGCGTCATTTCAACGAAAGCAAATCCCCCAAGACTATTGGGATCAGCATAATGAAACTGGAGTGATCCACGTGGGATGGCATCTGTATGGTTAGTAGAGGGATCCACTATAGCACCAGAACCAACGACAAAGTAGTTTACACTGTCGTTTCCTTTGATATGCTGAAAATAAAATATATTTTTATTGAACTATTACCACCAGTAAGTGTCATAAATAGGCATACTGTGAAGCTGGGTACTAGATGACCTATTAAACTGAATGAACTGGTTTAAATATTTAAAAGTACATCAAGATTATGGTACAGAAGTGTGATTTCTATTCGCTAGTCACTGTCAGGGTAAAATCAACTGATCAGAACACATAAACATGATACAAGCAATAATGTTTGTTATTTTTGCCTAGAAAGGTAAAATTCCCCATCCTGAATTTTTGTCATTCACAAAAAATCGCACGATAAAAAAAAACAAAATTTAGAATTCTACATAGGGGAAATATAACAAGGTCATAGCTGGGTGATCACGGAACTAAATCGCAACTTCAATTTTAAATAACCTGTGAAAGTGTGAAACAAACTTACTAGTTATAATGTCTAAAATGTTAAAATTATTGTGATATTAAATTTGAAACATATGAATGTCGCACAATATCATCCAATTACAGATCTACCATAGTGAAAATCAGCATCAATGCAAGGAAATCATCAGCTATATTTACATTTATATGGCAAAATACTCGTTAAAAAAAATCCTGAATTGTAAATTGTAAATATGGCTCACCAATCTATGCACTTCTACAGAACATGTTTCAAGCTCAAAAATTTGAATTGAGAACAAACACAGCACTCACTCCTGGCATTTGTGAAAGACATTATTTTTACATGAAATTTGGATGTACACGTATATGCTGCATGACAAACATCAAGATGATGGGTTTACCTGTAAGCTATGGTCATGTCCACTGCAGTATGCTGTAACCATGTATTTTTCCAGCATAGGTTTTAGTTGTTGCAAGAGACACTCAGTGGGGCCATGCTCAGCTATAGACCAGACAGGATAGTGACCGCTAACTATTATATATGTACTTAAGCAATAACACATAATTATGGTAAGTTATAAAACATCAATGCATGAAACAAATTATTATTATTGGATTATTCAACAGCTACAACAAGAAACAGTAAAAAATATAACAAGAAATTGGATTGGTTGATGAAACAAGAACCAGTGAAGAATGTAAAAAGGATTTTGATTGGTTGATGAAACAAGAACCAGTGAAGAATGTAAAAAGGATTTTGATTGGTTGATGAAACAAGAACCAGTAAAGAATGTAAAAAGAATTTTGATTGGTTGATGACACAAGAACCAGTATAGAATATAACAAGTCATTGAAAATGACACAGTCCCCGTTAAATTTTTGAAAGTTCTCTTTGTGCTTGTCATATTAAAGTGGAGGGGTTGTCGCGAGCGTGTCCTTGAAACTTGAGTTCAAAGTGGCGTATATAACAGATTGTTTATTTACTATTTTATTTATTATTTACATAGCAAAGAAAAATATAGATCCCAAGTGAAAGCATGTCCAAGTTATCACATTTCAAACAAACAAGATGGCCGTCAGTCGGCCATATTTGATCAAATTGCAAATTGAATTGACATGTACCCATTTATGACATGCTAAATATCAATGAAAATTATACATGGGTGACAGAGATATTTATAGTAATAAGGCCAAAAATAAAAACAGCCGTTATTCGGCTATCTTCGATCTGATTATGAAACAAAGTGACATGTATGATGTATGTGCCAAATACGAATGAAAATGATCAGATGGCTGTCAATCGGCCATCCTTGATTCAATCCAAATTGTCATGAACATGTATCCTAAGTATGTGCCAAGTTTGAATGAAAACTGACAAAGCATGTCCAAAATACAACATTTTCAAAAAACAAGATGGCTGCCAGTCGGCCATTTTTGATCGAATCGCTGAACCACTGCATGTGCATATGTCCCACATA